TCTCTCTCTCTCACACACACACACACACACACACACGCACGCACGCACGCACGCACGCACATGCACATGCACACATGGACACACACATACAGACACAGTCTATATACCCCTCCAAGCTCCTGACATTCTAAGTCCTTCAAGGATACATTGGCAAACTTCCCTAGTATCTCGAGCCCTAACCCAGACTCTCAAATAGAATGTCTGTGTAACGGAAACAGACATTGACAAAAAAGTCTCACAGCTGTGGTTATCAGCAAATCTCAACCCAAGCAAGAATCGTCATTTATTATGTAAATATTTGTAATTGTAATATTATGCAACCATAAGTTACGTAAACACCAGAGTGACCGCCACGCATCAGAACTACACCCGGAACCGTCTGTGTCTTCTGCTACTGAGCACTAAGCCTTCAAAACAGAAATCGCCTCTTCCTGCCACTAACGCTTGATGACGTTCTTCGGAGCCCCCTTCACCGCCCCCTCTAAGAGGCAACTGGGGCACTTAGTACACGCACAGGCCCCCAGCACTGCCCTCACAGTGCCCAGACAAGCAACAGGAGCTGTTCCGTCCTCAGCTATGGACATCCAGAGATGAGTTCTGCAGTTTATATCCACGGAGCCCTGTTCAGTTCCTGGCAGACAGGAACGTAGATAGGTTCTAGTGGTCAATTAGATAGGTCAACAAATATTGACCTTTAAAACCAGAGACAGCCTGAAGATACAGACAACCTGTCTTCGCTGAGGATTTTAATGATTCCCAACTCTCATGAGACTTGGTGTTAGTTATTTTTCTAAACTGCTAGGGCCAGAGAGATAGCCCAGTGGGTAAAGGCATCTACCACGAAGGCCGATGATCTGAATTCCATCCCGGGAACTCTAGGGCGGAAGGTGAGAACTGACTCCTGAAAGCTGTCCTGTGACTTCCACACACATGGGCAGTAGCATGCATACACCTAAACACACACACACACACACACACACACACACACACACACACACACACACACACAGAATAAAAATTAAGATGTGGCAAAATTCGCCCGACTTAAATGTTATTTCTCTTCTTTTCTTTCTTTCTTCTGTTTTTTTGAGACAGAGTTTCTCTGTGTAGCTTTGCGCCTTTCCTGGAACTCACTCTGTAGACCAGGCTGGCCTCGAACTCACAGAGATCTGCCTGCCTCCGCCTCCCAAGTGCTGAAAATAAAAGTGTGTGCCACCACCGCCCAGCAAATGTTATCTTCTTAATAGTATTTTTTTGTTTCAAGAAAACTGAAAACAATACCGTGATACTGATTAAAACACAGAATCCTTTCCTGGAAAAAAAAAAATCTGCTATAGTTAACACCTGAATTTGGAAATCCCTGCTTATCTGATATTGTATTGCTGGCATGAGTAATTACAACAGATTATCACAGTTAAATTACTGGTATTTCAGTTGTGATATACGATGTATACTTAACTAGCTTTTCTGCATTCTTTTATATTCATAAATAGACTCTGATAACAGCAGCTAATCCTTATAAAGAGCATGATTATCGCCTTTGCTTACTGAGGCTTTTTTCTTTTTTATTGAAACTAATCTTTCCCACATAATATATACTGATTATGGTTTCTCATTCCTCTAGTTCTTCCAGCTCCTGCTCTCTTGCCCCCTCTCTGTCTGTCATCAGAACGAAGAAGCTTCTAAAGGACAACAGTAAAATAAACAAAAACCAACACACTGGAACGGGATGAAATGATTGAGGGCAAAGCGCCCAAGAGAAGATAGAGATGCCGAGACCTGCTCATGCTCACACTCAGAATCCCATAAAAAATACTAAACTGGAAGCCATAACATATATGCAAAGGACCTGTAGGGCAAAAGGGAGAGAAGAAAAAAATATGTAAGTGAAAATAAGATTTAAAAAAGGAAAGAAAAGTCCTAATGTGACACTATGAGAGAAAGGTGCCGCTGAGTCCATTTGCGGCCGTCTCGCCCTCAAGGCAGCTTTCTGTGCACAAATAACAAGCCTCACGGCCTTCCCAAGTACATGATCCGGGGGTGTGACGTCCTGTCCCAAAGCTGAGCAACTGTCAACATTATCTAATTTCAGGATGTTTTCATCTCCCTGAACAGCAACTGTGCCACTGCCGCCGCCGCCGCCGCCGCCGCCGCCGCCGCCGCCACCGGCCACCATGCCTCCTATGCCCTGCCCTTCCCACCTCACCCCCCCCCCCTCTACTGACGTGCCTGGGACAGACATTTCATACATAAATAATACTGCACATGGTCTTTGTAGCTGCCTTCTTTTGTTTAACATATCTTCACGGTCAATCTTATAGTAGCATGTATTAATTAGTTGTTACGTGTTAGGCCCTCAAAACACACAGCTAAATATAATAAAATATATTTATTTTTAAATATTTATTTTATTTATGAGTACATGTACATACACCTTTACGCCAGAAGAGGGCACCAGATCCCACACAGATGCCTGTGAGCTACCATGTGGTTCCTGGGAATTGAATCAGGACCTCTGGAAGATCAGCCAGTGCTCTTAATTGCTGAGCTATCTCTCTAGCCCGTATTTTGTGATCTTAAAGTAGAAATAAGCAAAAAATCAGAAAACAAAACAAACCTGAGAGAGTGAAAGTCAAAGTGACTGGCTCTTCCAAATTCCCATTACTCACTACATTTCTATACAGATGTATATACTATACATGTATGGACAAACTAAACTCGATCTTAATTTTATTATTTATTTTTCGGCTGGTGTTTCACCACACATTATTAAACTCGCTTTCTCTAATCCTTCCCCCTAACCTAATACATGGAAGATCGATGACCATGATTTGAGTTAAAAGTCACAAGCGAAGTTTTGACTCATGAAAATATGACCAATGCTCTCTCTGGTACCTTCGAACTGAACTTGAGCTGTTCAAGAATGTACTTAGGTTATTCCTTTGTTATTCAGAGCTGATCTGGTGTGTCATGATTCCAAAGATTTACAGCAGAGCTACAGTGGGTGTTACCACGCAGAGAACACCTAAGGCAGATCAGGAGTCAAACGGGCAACGCGGTGATGCATGTCATACCATGAATACCACTTCATGTACATCTGACTTGTTCTTATCACAACACAAGAAAAGGCAGAGACTATCATCTGTAGGGTTATGGAATTATTGTTTTAAAAGTCTCTCTAGAAAGACACTGGCACATGAGGACACTGATTTCTTCCACCGATAAGCATTTTTTAATAAAAAAATTTAATTATGTGTGTTTGTATATATGGAGGTACCCTCAGATTCTAGAAGAGGGGGTTGGACCTCCTAAAGCAGGAGTTACAGGTGTCTGTAAATGGTCAGGTGTGCATGCTGGGAACAGAACTCAGGTCCTCTGCGAAAGCAGTTTGTACTCTTTTTTTTTTTTTTAAAGATTTATTTATTTGTTATGTATACAGTGTTCTGTCTGCACATATTACTGCAGGTCAGAAGAGGGCACCGGATCTCATTACAGATGGTTGTGAGCCACCACGTGGGTGCTGGGAATTGAACTCAGGACCTTTGGAAGAACAAGCAGTGCTCTTAACCTCTGAGCCATCTCTCCAGCCCCAGTTTGTACTCTTAACTGCTGAGCTGTTTCTCTGTTTCCAACTCAGTGCCTAGACGTGCCACCAGCAACCTGTATACAACCTCTCTGACCTTTCGTTACTGGCAAGGATGGGCCCATCTAGCTACCTGCTGGCGCGTATGTGTGCCCACCGTGGGCAGGAACGTGGGTGTAAGCAGCAGCAGCAGCAGCAGCAGGATGCTGCTACGTTCTTACTGGACACCGCCTGGCTTTGGGAAATGTAGGCTCAGCTGGTTAAAGAAACAAACGGCAAATGTGGAGTGGAGATTACAGGGAGCAGTGCTGACAGGGTCTGCTGAAGGCGTCACTCAAATCAGACACTGTCATCTTTAATTAGAAGTATCTCTGTGCTGTGGAATAAGTCTCTTGTACACTGTAAAGATTTGACACTCGAATTGGTTTAATAAAATGCTCACACACACACACACACACACACACACACACACCGCCAAGCAGGAAGTGTAGGTGGGGGCGACCCAACTAAGAATGCTGGGAAGAGGAAAGACGGAGTCAGGAGTCCCCAGCCAGGTGCAGAGGAAGCAAAATGAGAATACTGGACTGAGAAAAGGTACCAAGCCACGTGTCTAAACACTGGTAAGAATTATGGGTTAATTTAAGTGTAAGGGCTAGTTAGTAGTAAGCCTGAGCTACCCGCTGAGCATTTATAAGTAATATCAAGCCTCCTAGTCAATTATTCGGGAAACAGCTGCTAGGTATTTGGGAGTTGTTGGTGGGACAGACCCTTCTGCTTACATCTTTGTGCCTAAAAATATTTCTTATATTTGAAAAATACTGTGCATTGACTACTGTGACACCAGAGATCAGATGCCAAGGCCTTGCTATATTAGATAAGTAGCCTACCCCTGGGCTAAACCCTCAGCTCTCAACTTCAGGATGTTAATGATAGTCTTACAATGTGAATTCAATTACCAACCCAGCGTTTATATCTGAACAGGAACAAAAACTGTACAGCAGCACTGTGACTCCTTTGGGATGGGCTGTGTAAAATAGTAATTTAATATGGAATTTTGCATTGTAAACTTGCTATGACAAACAGCTAACTACTCTAGAACACTGCTACAAAATAAAACTTTCCAGAATTCTGCACCCTGCTGCCAACATGCTAGTCAACAGCTAAAAAGCACAACATGGGGCATTTAAGCGCATGCGGTGTGCCTGAGAACTTAACCGGTCACTAACTTAGACAGCCATATGTGACTAACGGCTACCATACTGGACAGAACAAATCCTAAACAGAAGAGACGCCACACCGTCAGAGGGCACACCCCTAACGATCTAGAAACGCTGGAAAGAATACCAGAGTGGAAGCAAGGGCAAGGGGAGAGAATGAATGTTCAAGGCGATATAACCCTGACCTCTAGGACTTTAGGGTTGCTCATTCAAACCTGGGCACTGGGTCTGTGGACATAAAAAGAGTACAGAAAATAAAGACCACGGTGAGTGACTTGCTACTGACAAGGTGGCTCGTTTTACATGGTGAGGAAAGTGTGCACCTTCACCGATAGGCAAACAGGCCCTCCAGCCACAGCGGAGATGATCCTTATCTCTGCTTCTATAGACAAGGGTCTTGAGACAGGAGACTGACGCGATGAAACAAATATGAATCTTGTACTCCAAATCCAGCAATAACATCATCTAGTCCTGTACATCCTGCATACCCCACTGTAACACCCCGGCCTGACTTCCCTGCTGCAGAAAGGTAAGCTCCTCGAAGACAGGATCTGTGTCCAGTCAACACCATCATATCTTCTCCAATACTACCAGTGACTGAGAGCCACCAAGGCACCCAAAAGACGTATTTTTCAGTATGTGGCCACGGGAACTTAGTACACGCTTAATTCCATTCCAATGACAAACACTTGACATGTATCCTCTGACCCATCAGGCATTCAAGTCTGAGGACCGAGCAGCAGACGTTTAATGGTTAAAACTTTACGAGCAGTCGCAAAGAATCTGAAAATCAGCTTGGAGACTTTCAAAATATGTCAAAACATGAGCTGTCACGTTTTACAGGCTATTACTTTCAGAAGAGAATATTTTCCCATGATTCTAGAAATATCTAACAGAGACTTTAATGCCACCAATCAGTTATGATGCTTAACTTTTCCCACAGAACAGCCTTCAGCCTTACATGGAGTACAGAAGTGTTAGAGACACTTTTCTTTTTAACTTTTCATACATGATTAAATTGTGCTTGCTCCTTATGGAGACATTGTCAACATCTACCAGGCAGTGTGAGCAAGGGTAAACTCTGAGAGCCACCCTACCCTACCCCACGACCCCCCAAAAAATCAGAAAGGACAAACCAGTCTAGGAAATTATTTCCTCAGTCCACTCTCCAGTCTTCTACACTAAGACCTAATGAAACCTGACCTACAGGGCACATAAAAATACCCCATAGGACCAGACCCCTCCCACTGCCCGTGCTTGCTACAGATACAGCATCATGGGTGAAAGCATACAGTTATAACACAGAGGACTCTGGGTAAGTTATCTCCTTAGCTAGGTGGGTGGTGGTGGCACAGGCCTTTAATGCCAGCACTTGGGTGGCAGAGGCAGTAGATGTCTGAGTTAGAGGTCAGCCTGGTCTACAGAGTTAGAGGTCAGCCTGGTCTACCCTACAGAGGGTGTTCCAGAAATAGCCAGAGCAACACACAGAGAACCCTGTCTTGAAAAACAAACAACAAAAAAAAACATAAGAAACAACAACAACAACAAAAAAACCGAGTTATCTCCTTGTCCTGGTCAGAAACAAAGATGACATGGATCATTTGCTAATTGATGGTCATTTAAAGAGGAAGAAAATTTAAAGTACCTATCAGCAATCTGTTGTGGGAACCAGAAATGAGCCAGGGCATGGCTGTTTAGATCCTACTGTGTTACAGGCTACCCGTGAACTCTGAAAAAGGAAGATCTCTAGTAGATGGGTCTGTGTGGAGCTGGGGACCACAAGCTTCTAACCACCTTTCAAAGGATGCTAAAGTTGCTGATCAAAGTATTGTATAGCAAAGACTTAAATTTTCTAGGTCTTAATGTTGGTTTTGTTTTTTATAATTCTCCTAGTTTCCTTTTTAACGTTTATGTGTTCATTCAACAAAATTCAATGTGTACAAGGAGGCAGGCACTGTGGTAGGATGGGAGATCTGATTTGTGCTCTCAAAGGGCCCAATAATGCTAAAAGAAAAGAAAAAGGGGATAAGTTAGCTGGCAATCGCTGTGTGCTTACCAGGAACTGTGATGAGGTGTGTCTGAGACAAGGGCAACAGAGGGGAAACAGAAGCCCACCCAGTAGAGGTGAGGACCCCAGTGATGCAGCAGAGCATCCTGGGAAATGGCCAGTCAGATCAGACTGTATGAGTTCTCAGCTGTGCTGGCATTGGAGACACAGTAAGGTCAGTCCAGCAGTTCACATGTCATTAGGGAGGTCATCACACCAGGGGACGCCTCTCAGCAGGTAAATGTGTCCAGCTGTATACAACTGTATAATGAATGGTACAGTAATGTCTGCATTTGCGTGTGAGGAACAATTCTGATCCCATGTGTTCAGCCACTCAGTCCCACATCAACCTTGTCGAGACTGGTACGAATGTGTTTAATCCCACATTTAGGGACGGGGAGGGAAGACACATGGATAAAGCTTGAACTGCCTATGGGACAGTAGAAACCCTTCTAGAAAGAGTTGGAAAGACCTGGGTATCATGGCGTGGCCAGGCTAGTCTCAAACGGGAAACAGTAGACTGAATGCACGTGAGAGAACATGGAAAACTGGG